TAAAATTATATGTAATAATTAAAATATATAATAATCGTATTTTTTATATATTATATATATATTATAATATATATTTTTATATATTATATATATATTATATATATTTCATTATCGTTATTTCATTATAATAATTTTTTATTTACAAATGACTGAATATTTTGTGATTAATTGATTAAAATCACTTTTTTCTAAAACTAATCCCATGATTTCTTTAATTATCTCTTCTTTAAAATTTCCATTCTCGTCAATCTGTAAGAATGACATAATTTTTTTTATTTTGTTTTTTATATATTATTTATATAATTCTTAACATTTAAATAATTTTATTATCTATATTAACCACGTTTAACTTTTTCAATATACACTCACTATAAATTCACTGTAAAATACACTATACATATTAAACATTCTTATCTTCTACATCGACATTGCCTTGAATAACGTCATTTCCTTTTTCTGAAATTCGAATAAAAGAATTAATTAAAACTTTTACTATTTTTAAATTTTTCATTATTTGCAACTTACATTGGTCAATACTAGTTTCTGCAAACTGATTGCTCAGCATATAGCTTAGTTTTTAATTCTTCAATTGTCTAAAAAAAGCATTAAAATATATATGAAAATAGATTTATGTATTTATGTATTATATAGTTAAATAAAATATTTTAAAAATGATTATTTATTTATTCAATATATATGTATCTTCTTTAAAAAATTTTTTTATTCATCTTCAAATATTAAAAAAGTTTTCTTATAATAGTATTTTTATTTCTATAGTATAAATTATAATATAAATTAAAATATAATATAATAATCATATAATAATGAAAATTATACGAAAACAATTAATCGATACAAATTAAATCTAACTTCTTATTACATTATTATTATTTAATTATTTAGAAATATGTGTATCAAGAATTTTAAAATAATATTTTAAATTTTAATCGAAATAATTATATATTACTATATTTTTTTTCTCGATCTATTTCAATAAGAAATAAAATAGAATGTAAAGAATATGTGAAATTGATTATAAAATTAATATATTTATAAATAAAACGAATATAAAAAGAACAAAATCAAATTTGATATTAAAATAATATTATAAAATAAGTAATTAATAACAAAAATTATATTATCAATCTCTTGAGATATTACATTTTTTGCAAAATAAAAAATTTTTTTATAGGAAAAGATTCTTTTTTATAAATTATATAATTATTAATTATTAATAATTATTATGAATATAAATTATTCATAATAGGAAAATATTTTTTTCTGGTGATTAAAATTAATCTAAAATTGCTAAAATTAACTAAAATTCTTAATTACTAATTAATTATTTATTATTTATCGTTCTGCAAATATGCAGAATCGAAAGGATTAATAATATTGTTATATACCACTGAACAGACACAGAATGGAATATTATAATCAATATCAATGACAATATAGAAATGACATTCGTATTCGAAATATCGATTTAGAGAAGTCGTTTTCCGGACACGGAGTAGAGCGGTCGTGTTGCTCTCTGTTCCTCGCAATATTATATTGCTTATTAAATAAATTAATATTTTATCAGTGTTATAAATAAATTAGTGTAGTAATTATAAATAAATTAACTATTGTGAAAAAAAACAGATTATATATTATTGAATAAAAATTTATTATAACAAATTTATGTCAAGAAGGAAAATAATGTATCACAAAAATATAAATTGCGACAATTGAAAATATTTTTAAAGATATAATAAAGAAAAAAATTTAAAGATAGATGATAAATATGAATAATTATGATTATCAAATATGAAAAAAAGATGGATCAAATATTTAAACATTTACCAACAACGCAAAAAGATATACTAAGGCAAAAATAACTACAATAATTTTCATTTTCCTTTTTAATACTTCATAAAAACGGGATTCATGATATTTCAAAGAATATTGAACAAAAACTAAATATACATTGAATTGCAGGAAGTGTTTTTATAATTGAAATATAATTATCTTATTATCATTTTAGAATTATTTTTTTATTAATAATTATAAATAATTATAATTTTTTTTAATAAAAATTTATTAATATCTCTCCAGTCAGATTATACAACATATTAGATATGTTATATCGTTTATGTAACATATGTAAATAATAAAATAATATTTAAAGAATAGAAATCAATATTTATTAAAATGTTGAGAAATTTTATCTCTCGAATATAAACAATAAAATGATTAAATAATTAATAAAATGATTAAATGAATATAGATTAATAGAATATAAGTCTGAATTTCATTTAAATAATTTTTCGTTTCTTTTTCTTTATCCGTCCTTTTTTCAAAATTAATTATATATAATGGTCTACAAAAAATTTTTTCAACACACTTATTTATTAATAAAATATTAACGAACAATTTTTTATTTTCAGTAAAAATATATAAAGTATCTTTGCAAGTATATAAATTCTTTTTATCGAAATATGACTTTAAAAACGATCGATTGACTTAAAATTTAAGGAGAAATCAAAAATTTTGGATTCGGATATTTTCTGAATATTTAATAAAGTAATCTCAACGAAATATTCAAATCACAATGTAGAAATAATAACAATGTTTTGCAAATTGAAAACTTATTATCTATAATTATTACTTCCATGTTAGAATTTTTCTTTTCATTATTAGTAATAATAGCAATAATTGTACATAATCTTTTTTTTTTTTTAAGAAAAACTCACTAATACTTTTTTATTTAGATTATGCACGGTTTATATAACATATCAAAACAATATTAAAATAATGCTTAAAAAATAAAAAGAAAAATGCTTATTAAAATATTTTTTATTAAAATAATAAGAAATATCCAAATTAATTCTTAATAATTCCAAAATAATAAATAATAAATAATAATTATGTTTTTTATATCTTGAATATAAAGTATGAAACGATTAAAAAAAAATAAATGTGAATAAAATTGAATTTTGTTTAAATGATCGTTTGACTAATTTTTTCTTTTTTAAGATTATATATATGAAAGAAAATTATTTAAAATCTTATCCTCTATAATATATTTAAAAATCGTTGAAATTCATATCAATATCACACATTCATTGATTTATAGAAATTTTCTTTAATCTTTTATGTAAGATTTATTTTTGCAATTCACTTATGCGTTTAATCATTATTTCATATAGCAGTTCGCGATTTATATGCAATATATATATGTACATGTATATATATGTACATATTCGATTGTAAAATACTCGTTATATCTAATTTATTTTAATTACTTAATTTCATGTTATTATCTTTGTCATGAATCAATGAATCTATCAATCTATTGTATAATATGTCTCGAATCAAAAATTATCGGTAACAGATCGAATATTAAGGAAAAATCCCCAAATTTTAAAAATATTCAAACTTCAGTGCATATGCATCACACAATTTATTTCTTTTTATTACTTAAATTCATCATATACTTATAATTCGCATATATGAAAAAAATCATAAATTCTATTTTATCAAATGATGAAATAAATGATTACTTGTTATTCTTGTGGATTAATTAAGTGAATTAATTGAAAATTTGAAAAAATATTGGTTTCCTTATAGTCTACAATAATATAAATACAACAATATATACATTTACTAATAATTTATTTACTAATAAAAATAAAAATTAATAAAGACAAAATAAAGTTTAAAAAAATTAATCCAATAAATATTATATAGTTTATTTAAAATTATAAATAAATTGTGAATAATAATAATAATAATAATAATAACGAAACACCAATTACTATAAAAAAAAATAGAATTACATGATATAATAAAAGATATAATTATTAAATCACAAAACATAATATATTTTATTTATTTTTTTTACTACAAATACAAATCAGTTTTTAATTATTAAATAAATGAGGTTACAAAAATAAATTGAAGAAGCAAGAAAAAATTATAATAAAATAGTATTTCAATTAATTATATATTTATTATTAGGTGCTAATAATTTATTTTGTTATTTCAGTTTATTTCAGAATTAAATGTGATAAGAAATAGTACGAACATTAAACTTATAATAAATTAATTATAATGAGAACCAATTCAAACACATTTGATCGATTTTCCTAGAGCTGTAGAGTCGCTAATATAATCTCTACTGATTACTTTATCAATTCTCAATTTCATATACTCAATTTCATATACTCAATTTCATATTCTTTTAAATCTCATAAAATGATAAATCTATTTTGTACTATGTTGCAACTATAATTACAATTTCAATCTAAAATATTATATATTTTAATAATTTTTATAAATAACGGAATATAACATAAAATTAATAATAAAAATGTTTCAGAATAAAATTCGATAATTCGTTATTTTAATATAAAAGAATTTCAAAAGATTACGAATCGAAAAAAATTTAGAAATAATAACAATACATGCATACTAAATTAGATAAATAATAAAAATATAAAAACATAATAGAACGGAGAAGCAACAAAATTTAATGGATAAATAATCAAAACTTAAACGTTAAATAATTGTGTATCAATTTATTAATATAAATCTAAATATTTTTTACAATCAAAATAAAAAATAGATATTTCATGTTATAAATAAATTTGTTTTCCTTTTGATAGTTGGACGTTTAAATAGTGTCTACTGATTTCATCGTTTTATATTTCGAAAAACACTGTATCAACTTACTTGCTTTCAAATGTATATTATCTTCGGCTGTAATGATAAATATATGTCAATATAATAAACAATAATAAATAATTTATTTAAAGTTTTGTGTAATAATTAAAATATATAATATATAAAGAATATATAAAGATAATATATAATATATAAATTATTTTTTCGTTAATAATTTTTTACTTACAGATGGCTGAACATTCGGACACTAATTGTTTAACAGCATTCTCATCTATAAGTATTTCCATGACTGTTACGATTCCTTGCGGTTTAAAGACACCGTTTGTATCAAGCTGTTGCAAAAGTGACAATAATTTTTTTTATTTTGTTTATTATATATTATTTGTATAATTCTATTTAAATAATTTTATTATTTATACTAACAATGTTGAATTTTTTTAATATACATTCACTGTATAATTGAACTTTTTTATCTTCTACATCGACATTGCCTTGATTAACGTCATTTGCTTTCTCTAAAATTCGAATAAAAAAATTAATCAGAAATTTTATTATTTTTAAATTTTTCATTATTTGCAACTTACGTTGATCAATGCCAGTTTCTGTTTTGCAAGCTGATTGCTCAGTATGTAGCTTAGTTTTTAATTCTTCAATTGTCTAAAAAAAAATATTCAAATATGAAAATAGATTTATATATTATATAGTTAAATAAAATATTATAAAACATGATTATTTATTTATTTGAGATATTCGTGTAATTATTTTTAAAATATTTTATATGTATCTTTTTTTCAAAATCTTCTATTCATCTTAAAGATTAATAAAGTTCTTAATAGTAGTATCTTTTTATAATATATTTCATAACATAATCATATAATATAATGAGCTCGAAAATTATTTAGATTAAAAATAATAATATTCTCCTATCTTCTTTGCTACTAAATTTAATTATTCAGAAATAGATAGAAATAGATAGAAATTTCAAAATACTATATTTAATCGAAATAATTAAAAATTATTGTATTTCATTATATATATTTTTTTGTCGATTTTTATGAAATAAAATAGAAGATAAAAAATAAAATCATAAAATTAAAAAGATTGTAAAATTAATATATTTATGAATAAATGAAATATAAAAAGATCAAAAAAAAATTCAATACAAAAATTTTATCATAAAATAAATAATTAATAACAAATAACAATATAATCATTCTCCTTTAACACGAAATATTTCATAAACTGTAGAAATGATCTATTTTTTATTAATTATTCATTGTAGAAAAATATTTTTTTTTTTTGTGTAATTTTTGTAAGCATAATATTGAACATATTTTACCGAAAAAATATTTATTATTTGTCATTTTAAAATTAGGAGATAATTAAAATTCTTAATTATTAATTATTTATTTATTATTTATTATTTTGCAAATAGTAATATTATATACGAGGTAACGGAAAATCAGTATTATTAACTAAAAATTTCATATAACAAATTTATATTAAAAAAAATAATAATAATCTATAGGATATAAAAATATGCAAGGATATAAGTTACGAATAAGTTATGAATTGCAAATATTTTTAAGATATATAAAAATGTAAATATATAAAATTTAAAATTTATATTATATATTATATTAATAATATAAAATTTTATATTAATAATATAAAATTTAAAATTTAAATTGAGATATGTTAAATATTAATATTTTTAATAAATACAGAGAAAACTAAAATTATTTAAATATTTACCAGAGCACCAACGCAAACGCAAAAGGCAAAAATAAGCACGATAGTTTTCATTTTTCTTTTTGATATGTCGATTTTAGAAACAAGAATTCGACTGATCTCGAAGTGTATCCAACCAGAACTGAATACATATCGAATCGCACGAACTATTTTTATAGTTGTGGTATAATTATTATCTATATTACTTCCATATTAGAATTTCTCCTTCCATTAATAGTAATAAACGATTTTGCATGATCTTTCTTTTTTTTTTTTGTTTTAAAAAACTCATTTCTTCAGTCAGATTATGTATCGTTTATATAAGATATCAAAACAATATTAAAATAATGTTTAAAAAATAAAAGGGAATGTTTATTAAAATAATAAGAAATATCCAAATGTTTTTATATCTTGAATACAAAGGATAAAATGATTAATAAAAAATAAATGAATAAAATTGAATCTCGTTTAAATAATCATTTGACTATTTTTTTTTTTTTTAAGATTACATGATAAGAAGATTATAGAAAAAATATTATTGAAAATCTTGTCCTTTATAACATATTTAAAAATCATTAAAATCATTTAAATTTATTATATGTATGTCACATAAAATTTATTTTTGCGATTCACTTTTGCATTTAATCATTGTTTCATATAACAATTCACGATTTACAT